GGTGTTCTGTTAGTCTTGTCTGAATCTTTTTAGAAGTTTGTCCAATGTACTTATCCGGACAGTTTTTGCACGGGAAGATATAAATGGCGTTATGTTTATCCGTTATATGTGTCTTGTCTTTGTGTTTAGTGAAGTTGGATCTAAGTTTGCATGTTGGTTTGTGTGCAACGTCAATGTTGAAAGGTTGGAGGAGTCTAGCTGCCATTTCTGATGTAGTGTGTATGTAAGGAAGTGTAATCCTCGTTTATATATATATATATATATATATATATATATATATATATATATATATATATATATATATATATATATATATATATATATATATATATATATAGTTCATAAAAAGTAAGAAAGAGTATTTTACAGATAAAACGGTATCTAGTGTGGGGACGAAACGGCATGGGGACGAAACAACCATAAAACATAGGAAAGCACGGGGAGAGCAGAAGCATAGCAACCTTGGCTTGAGCAGATTCTGCGGACGAGAGTGGAACATTCTGAAAATACTTCCCTGTAATATACACGGAATTTCCGCCCAAAATTTTCCTGAAAATTTTCTGGAACTTTCTAAACTGTAGCAAAATTTATGAATTTAAAACTGTCTTAGTTCTCTGTTTGTCATTTTGTTATGGTGACTGCCATGAGAAATAATTCATAAATGATACCGCCATACATAACAATTTCAATGTTAATGAAGGTCAAACCATATCATCGGTGTTTATCATGAACAAGAAATGCGGGGCAAAAGCACTATAAACACTTACCACTTTTCTTCATTCCCATTTTTAAGCACTTGTTGAGTCGACAACGCCGACATCGATTTCTCTGCGATCTATCTATCGGGCAATCACCTCCGTCACGACACGTGTATCGCATGCTTTTCCTTATACTTCGTTTGAAAAACCCTTTACATCCCTCGCATGAAATAACGCCATAATGCCTCCCAGTCGCTATGTCATCACAAACAAGGCATGTTTGTAATACCACCACTTGGCTATTTACAACGTTCCCTTCGTCTTCTTGATTCGACCTAGCCATTTGTTCTCCAAATTCACTATTAATGCTAAAAAGACACGAAATATGTAAACACTAATTTGCTGCCTAGTAGCTATAAAAACTGATTTCAATTGTATAATAAATTATCATATTCCCGCCGAAATGTGCACATTTGTGTGTTGTATACTCACTAATATTTCGTTTTTCTGTAACCAAATAACTCTTTCCCATCAATGGCTACCGATCAACGCAATAAAAAAAATGAAATTTCCTTTTAAAATACCGCAAATTATAAGACATCATACGACCACTATAAGCAGCAGAAATATCGAACGATGCCTTCCAGTGGATGAGTCTGAAGGTCATTCGAATCTCAATTAAACGCACTTCACAAAGGTCAAGCTCAAGGTAAAGTTCGCTTCACTGTGATTGGCTGTTCATAATTAAATATTATGTAAACACACTTTTTGATTGGCTACGTTCGTTAAGATATTCAATGCGTGTCAATTTATAGGACACAAAGGCGAAGGTCACCACACACACTGGTCACATATCCGGAAAAATATAGGAATACATCCGGTTTTATAGATTTTTCAAATTCACAGCCAATTTTTTGCCATTTCTTTGCTGTTTCGTCGCATGATCGCCAGAAAATTTAGATTGTAGAGAAATTGTGAAATTATGTCAAAGCTCTGTGATCAAAGCCCTAAAAAATCCGGTTGGGATCAATGGCAATCTCGTTCCCCGAACCTGCGATCCTCGGGAAGAAACGTGAGGCTCTGGGATAATCCGTTGCCGGAAGCCAGGAACCCTGGCTAAGACCGAACTGCGCATTCCATATCAACGGCCAATCAGATTCCTCCCTGAAACGGTTACTCCCAGAGTCTCACGTTCCTTCCCGAGGATCGCAGGCTCGGGGAACGAGATTGGGTCAATGGGTGCCACAACCTCGTCCCCAGGGTCTTCTTCGTGATGGCGCGCGAGCTCGGTGCGACGAGTGGCTCTGGCCAAATCCATAAACCGGATACCATAAAAACATGGTAATAGAATGATGTTTGTGATGTTACTCTGAGTGTATATCCACACCGGGCGAGCTTGAAAAATATGCCCGGCCACGGTGGGAATCGAACCTACGACCTTTGGAATACTAGCCCAATGCTCTGCCAACTGGGCTAGTATTCCAAAGGTCGTAGGTTCGATTCCCACCGTGGCCGGGCATATTTTTCAAGCTCGCCCGGTGTGGATATACACTCAGAGTAACATCATAAACATCATATTATTCACCTGAGTACACAACACCAACACAGAAAAAAATCATATTACTAGATTACATTGGTATCGAAGGAACTAGATTCTGTTCCGAAATATCACTTACTCGAACCGTCCTGACCGCGTAGCTCAGTTGGCAGAGCATTAGGCTAGTCAGTGCATTTTTTAAGGATTCTTCAGTGGTGGGGCAAAACTGCCAAAGGGCCCATTTTCGGCTTGCCCTCTCCGAGAACACATTTTAAAAAAATCTCAGCTTCTCAAAACAAAGTTTTAATTAATGGTGAAATTTGTAATAAATTGCATGCTAAACATTCAAACACAAGAAGAAGAAGAAGCTAGAAGAAGAAGAAATTTTTTATTGACCACTATTTGATTATAAATACATGAATAATTATATTAGGGCACATAAACATATAGGTGTAGTGCTGGTCGCCTGTAATAACCATTGGGGCTAATCGAGACAAGCGGCCATTAAAAGCAAAGATTATACATTTACAAACAATTGGGGAATTTTTACAAAACAATTTTTATTTTAATTAGCTCAAACACACAGACAAAACTGATATAAAAACAGACACAATACGAGTATTTTAAGTATAAAATTGCGGTTGCCATAGAGTATTTTAATAAAACACAAAACAATATAGACACTCCGAAAATTGTAAACATTTTAAGATGACTTAAATTATAGTCGAAACGTAAAGAATTAAACAATGGAGTGTCTATTGTTTTGTGTTTTATTAGTTTAAGTATGCTCACCAAAAAAATTTGTTTTTTAAACTTCCTTTCAATTTTAAACTCATTTACTCAATACAGGTCCTAGGGCCCTGGCTTTGGGGCAATAGGCCTCTTTTTTTTTCTTCAGTGGTGGGGCAGAGGAAGGGGTCCAGTGGGGTAAATGCCCCACCAGTCCATGGTATTAATTAAAAAATGCCTTGGGGCTAGTATTCCAAAGAGGGTCCTGAAGGGGGGGTCCCAATCCCATTTCCCACCCGAAATTTTGGCAAAATCCCAGTCCCAGTTGGATTTTTATTACAAATCCCAGTCCCAGTTATTGAAATCCCAGTCAATAAAAACCCCTTTATTTATCGGTAGAATAAACAGTTTTAAGACCTTTTAAGCAAGTGGCTGACACTTTATGAAATATTAGGGGGGCTCGTGCCGAAGGCACGGAAAATTTTTAAATTTGAATCCCGGAAATGGCATTTGCAACATTCTGAGACACGCATAATCATAAAACCCAGAATTCCGGGTGCCAGAGTATGCCTGTTCGCAGGTAGTGCTGTGAATAATATAGTTAACAACAAAAATCATGACCAAAGACACCGAAAACGGATCAAAATTGTATTTTAAAATACTCAAAACGCAGAAAAATTGGGAATCGACTCACATTACCTCAATCCCATTCCCATTTTTGAGGACTTCATTTCCCATTCCCAGTGGCCAAATCCCAGTCCCAGCAACCCAAATCCCATTTTCCCAGTCTAAAAATAGATCAATCCCAGTTCCCATTTTACCCCTTCAGGACCCTCTCCAAAGGTCGTAGGTTCGGTCGTAGGAACATCACAAACATCATATTATTCACCTGAGTACACAACACCAACACAGAAAAAAATGGTAATAGAATATATCCGGTATTAGAACAATAACATTCGTTGTAGCCAATCAGATGCTATTTTGATATGATTTGGCCAGAGCCTCTCGTCGCGCTCCGTCGACCGCGCGTAAGAAGGGCTCTGGGTACGAGAATGGGGTTGAATAAGCCAAACTTTTGCCAAACTCAATCACTCAAGATCAAAAGCAATCTCGAAATCTGAGCTCACTCGCTAGCTCAGGTTTCGAGATTGGATCAAAAGCCAAAGAGATTGAAAGAAGCCAATTATATCAGAATTATATCAGTATATTTACACTCTTAAAAACTTCTCATTGACTGACAAATCATGTAATCCAAGCAGTGGCGGCGCCAGGCATCCGAATTTGGGGGGGGGGGGCGGCATTTGAGGGTCAAACTCATATTTTTGGTAGGCCTTGACCGATTGTGCTCTTAAAATCCCAAAAAGTTGCCAGTTAAAATGCCAAAAGTTGCTAGAATGTTGCCAAAAATGCGAAAAGTTGCTACCTAAACTTCAAGAGTTACACCTACTTGTTACCCAAATTTCACGTTATTTTCACGCATACTTAATTAAAAGCTTTTAAATAAAATTTCTTGAAATTTGAACATGGAAAAGTTTTTAATAAATCGTTCGCATCAACATATTTAAAAAAAACAACTTTTACTATAAAACAATAACTGTAACATTCCTTCTCTGTTTCTGATAAGTCGGACAATTCGTCTAGGTCTTCTGATTCCGCCATATAATACTAACAAATAATATTAATAATTAACTATATATGAACAAATAATTACTACACTGTTTACGCAGACGTCCGACATGCAGCAACGGAGCAACCGAACACTTTTGATCCCCTAGATATTGAGAAAAAGTAAAAAAACATTTTTTTAATTTTAAAATATGTTTTAATAGAATATTAATGTAAATTTTTGTGTCAGCAAAGATGATATAAATTGCCTTTCACACATTTGAACTTTGGCCCCTACCCCTACCCTGATCTTGAGTTTGGCCTTTTTTGTCCCACAAAACCTGGCACCCCTTACTCATTCCCCTGGGACCAACTCAACAAAAGCCATGACGGCCATGTTGGTGTTCCAGACAAGAGTCTAATTATAAAAATTCTTGCGGAATTGGACAGCATGAGCTCCACCTTTGAATTTACTATATGAGTAAATTCTTAAACACGTCCGAATTTATCATTATGATAAATTCGCGGCAAATTTTGAATTTATCATAATAATAAATTCGCGGCACCTAACACTAACCCTAACCCCAACCCTAACCACTAACCCCTAACCACTGACCACTAACTCCTAACCCTAACTTTTTTAACTTTTTAAATTTTTTTAACTTTTTTAAAAATCTAACTTTTTGAACTTTCTTGCTTTTCAAAACTCCTTTAAAACTTTTTTAAAACTACTTTTTAAAGAACTTGAAAAACTCCCCACGCCTGCTCGACCAGCCTCCCTTTTAGTGCCATTACACTTATAAAAAGAAATCTTGTCTAATGCTTGTGGTTTTATGATTAACTCTATTGATAAATTCAAAATGTGCCGCGAATTTATCATAATGATAAATTCGGACGTGTTTAAGAATTTACTCATATAGTAAATTCAAAGGTGGAGCTCATGTTGGAATTGGAACACCAACAAGGCGACTGTGACGTCATATGCAAACGCTCTATTTCTCAAGATACATGCAACATTTTGTTGACAAAAACGTCCATTTTCTCGCGAACTAGTTAAAGGTCTGTATCATGGGCCCCGTCTTTATGCCCCCAAATTATGATACACTACGCAGTACGTCCCTCTACTCGCATTGGCAATAATGTGGTCATGACACAAATTGTAAGGTACAACATATTACGAAAGTCACCGAACTGTGGAATCGCATCAAAAATTCGTATATCGACCACTCCCACAAACGTCTACGACCGCGCCTACATAGTCTTGCATGTTAACTACAATTCTAATTTTGAACAGCCAATCAGGTTCTTGGTAACAATTGCAATTAAACGTCGATTCGCTGTTTAAAATTAGAATTGTAAACATGCAAAAATATGTAGGCGCAGTCGTAGACGTTTGTGGGAGTGGTCGATATACGAATTTTGGATGCGATTCCACAGTTCGGTGACTTTCGTAATACCTGGAACTGATTATCAAGTTTCTCAACCGGTTCTTTGCAACAAGTGTTGTACAATTCTGGCAATGCCCATGCTGAAAAACTGCCTTGACTGCATATTAAAATTTAATAAATTACAAAATTACGGTTAATAATTAATCAAACTACCAATTTCAATTTTCAACAAATTTTTTTTTTCATTTTATATTTTGCCCATGTTTTGAGATATTTTTAAGAAGTTTTTAGCTATGGTTTTTAGCGATAGTCTGCTATTAGCAAAACACCAGCTGTTTTGTCAAATAACTGATGAACAGGACATTCGATTTTTGTCAGAATAAAAATTTCCAGTGCCCCCCCCCCCCCCCTTAAGGGACCGTTCGTTTTTTATCAGGAGGGGGCTGGTGGTTTTGGGCGCTTTCATTAATAATTTGGTCTCGACCCCCTCCCCCCCCAAGTCCCAACAGATGCAGGAAAATTTCCTGTGGCCCCCTTTCTACTCCAAGCTTTTTTCCCATGATCCCCCTATATGCATAACTTGGGTATGGTCTTGGACATTTGGCCCTACCCATGCATCACAGGATAAGCAATCGTAAAGCAATATATTTTATTTTATAATAGGACAAAGCTTCATCTTCATTGTCTTTTTGGCTGTTTAATAAAGTTACCGTAAGTGACAATTTTGTGCATATTTGCCAAAGCCAAAAGGAAACAAAATAAAACTGATTTGCATTGCCTTAATACTCAGTTGATTGATTGCTTTGGTTTTTATGTATTCATTGATGTTTTGGTGGCCCCCTAAAAATGTAATTTTCCAGAGATGACCCCCTCTCACACCGCTATTTTTTCTGTCCCCCCCCCTGCAAAAACCACCAGCCCCCTCCTCCTGATAAAAAATGAACGGCCCCTAAATCGATTTTTTCCGCACCGTCCAAGTTAAAAGAAGCCACAAGCTGGCAACCTTACTGCACTGTATCGTGGCCTGCAAAACAGGTGTTTCATTTGAAGCAGGCGGCCATGTTCTTAGCAAGTGTCCTAAAGAGAGGTATTCACCAGCCTGGAACATGAAATTTCAATGTTTTCAGGGTGGTGACCTCCTCTCTTCACTTGCTAAGAACAACGCGGACTGAAAAAATCCCTTACGCAACATTAATAACCTGAAGTGAGACGCCTAACGGCTAGAATCTGAGCATGGCCGGGACATACTTTGGAGATACCTTACATGACGGATTCTACACCCTCGGAGACCCCGTCGCCATATGCCAAGACATGTGACATGTGCAGGACGCGAGGATGTCATGTGAATGACGGTGAACGTCAATGTTGTCAAAAAGGCTAAATTATTTGTTTACAGTACACATGAAATCTTTAGACAAGAACGATAACGACATAGGTACGTTTATCGTTGAATTTCCTGATTCAACCAAAGCCTCGATCAAATGGATATTGGCTATAACTTTTCTCACAGTGACTCAACTGTATTCCAAATGAACCCTGGGAAAACACTGAATTAAAATATATAAATTTCCACTCGATAATTTCCATCTACAAATACAATACCCTTCAACAATTATTCAAACGAGTGAGATGCCAACAAAATCTTGATAATTTACCTACATGAACTTGTGGTTAGAGCTCGACAACTGGCTTCTGTAGCTGAGTTGTTTATAGAGGGCTGCACCGGAATCGTAGGGCCGCAGGTTCAATTCTTGCCAGGGACCTAAAGTTGCATTTTTCGCAGCTGTTCCTTATTAGGTCTAATAAATGTATATAAATTTCCACTCGACAATTTCTATCTACAAGACCCTTCAAACACAACACGTACACTATCATCGATTACCATCAACATCATGATATCATACTACATGCATGCATCATTTCGGCATGAGGCTCTTTTCCTTGTTTGATATAGACTTTAACCCAATGTCTCGTTCCCATGTTTGTGTGTTTTAGCGTACAGC